TTCCTTCCTTCCTTCCTTCCCCTCCCTTCCTTCGTAACTTTATTCTTTCCTTCCTTCCTTCATTCCCTTCATCTTTCGTATTCATATATTCAACCCTGGCCTATTTCCAACTTCTACATTCCTACTTCATGCTATTTCATTTCATTCGATTCCATCCCCTTTCCATACCATATGAATCTCGTTTCTTAGGGCCACATGTAGTTCCACTTTTTAAAAAGATTTACCGATACGATACTGACATACAGGATCAAATGTCTACTATACATCTCTGGACTGCCAATTACTTCTATTTCTGTACCAACGTTGATCATCAGCACTGCTATTAGGGCTGCTGAGAAGTTCCTCTCCTGTAGAAAGATTAAGAAACAAAATTGTCAAAGAAAATGTAAAAAACTGATATCAATAGACGGGGTCCTGAGGGGTAAAAAGGGAATTGGGATTCGCCTTTTGGGGGGCTGGCAAAATGGGATTTTATGCCTGGGAATGAGATTCACAAAAAAATTAAACAAAAAAACCGATCAAAAATTTGGAATGGGAGTTTTGAGCAAAACATAGCCTGGGACTATGGGATTAGAACCCCCTCCCCTTAGAACACCTAAACGTCAACAGCTAGACGTCAGTTCCGTGCTCGCCTGAAATCTCTACCAAGCTATCTGTTTAAGATGTAAATGATGGCTGCAGAGCATTAAAACGCTCGCGTCTGAGGTCCAGGGTTTGAAATTTTGAAATGTCCAGAATAATTCTTAACACCCTCCCTTAAAGTCATGCAAAAAATACGATCCCCCCCTAAGCAAGGCTTGTAGCTTCTTCCAAAAATTGTGCATCCCCCCCTTTTTCTGATAAAAATTTGCCCATCCCCCCCTTTTTCCTACCAAAATTTTCCTGATCCCCCCTTAATTTCACCTGCACCCCCCTCTGCCATTCATTATGAACGCAGCCTTAAATTTTAATAAGTTATGACTTATACATACTGTTTCCTCTAAGACGAGATTCTTGTTTTCCACAGAATTCCAACACAAGTCCCAGAATGACAAGCAATATTAGAACAGCCAGTGCAGTCAACGTGGCCATGGTTTCAAAAGAGTAAGGTAGATTGCTCTTTATGCTTGGCTCAGTTGGTTTGGTTATCTTTGAGTTACCCCCTAATAATGCGCCGTAAATCTCTTCCTGTTCGATTGAATGAAGGGAATGATTAAAATAATCAACTGATATCATATGCTTTTTACTTAAGATGCACTATATCCCATCCCCATCGCCCCATGTAAGGGAATCCGGAATCCGGAATCCACGAAATTTTAGGCTTTGGAATCCGGAATCCAGGCCTTGGAA